CTGGAGGGTCTTGACGAGCGGGCAGGGAATCCTCTGCATTCATATATTTTTGGGCTTTGGAGAGTAGGGCTGCCATGGAAGTGGAGGGGATTTTTAGAGAGGGAGAAGAGGAAATCAGATGACCGTAGTCTGGCCATGAAGGCCGTTAGAATGACCTTATTATCATTTTCCGCCACTTGTAAAGCTTCGGTGTTGAAACGGGTAACGAAACTGCGCAGGGACTCCCCCTCGGTCTGGCGGATATTGAGGAGTTGGGTTGCCGGACGACGTTGACGTTGGGCTCCAATGAAATGGCTGAGGAAGGAGTCACTGAGATGCTGGAAAGTGGAGACAGAGTCTGCTGGCAACTGACTAAACCACAGCCGAGCTGACCCCTTTAATGTCACGGGGAAAGCTCAACACATGATCTCGTCATGGAATGCATAGAGGATCATGAGGGTTCTGTAGGTCTCCAGATGGTCGACCGGCTCCGTCGTACCGTCAAAAGAGTCGATGGTGGGCATTTTGAACCTGGGGGGTAGAGGTTTGTCCCGGATGGAAGCGACGAATAGTGAGTTTGCTGTGGTAGAGGGTTTATGCTGGATGTTCTGTATGACCCCTTGGAGTTGGAGCTTCATGACTGGGAGCTCCGTATCCCAGAGAGGGATGTTATCACCACCAGAAGGCAGCGAGGGTTGGACGTTACTGGCCTCCCCTTTAGGGGCTGGTATCATGAGCGATGGATGCGGGGGCCGGGGTGGTGGACTCATATTAGGAGGAGGAGGTTGCAAGCCTTCCAAGTTGGGTGGATGGGGCTGCGGGATAGTATGGCTCGGGGCTCGTTCTTGGTTGGGCGGAATATCGGGAGGTGGTGGAGGGGGCATAGGAAGGTTCCTATGGAGTAGGGCATTTATCAAGGCTTGGTTTTGCTCGGTCATGCGGTTAATGCTGTTGGTAAATATTAGGAGGAGGAGGTTGCAAGCCTTCCAAGTTGGGTGGATGGGGCTGCGGGATAGTATGGCTCGGGGCTCGTTCTTGGTTGGACGGAATATCGGGAGGTGGTAGAGGGGGCATAAGAAGGTTCCTTTGGAGTAGGGCATTTATCAAGGCTTGGTTTTGCTCGGTCATGCGGTTAATGCTGTTGGTAAGCTCGATGAAATACTGTGGTGGGTTGTTTGGATTGGGGGGTTGGCTTGGTGGTCGGGAGCATTATAGTGAGAAGCCATAGATCTAGTCGTGACCATACACTTTGATGGGTAGTAAGAAAAAGGTTATTGGGACAGGGTCTCTGACAATGAGCACAACTGGCACGCGGAGCAAGGCGTTCCCACAGACGGCGCCAACTGATAATACAGTTACGATACAATGGGTTCCATGTAGAACGGGTCGGACCGATCCACATTTCTCGAGTCGGTAATGAATGATGGCCAAACCCACCGGAGAACCTGCACAAAAGTTCAACGGGGAACGGGGAGTCCCCCAGCGAACCCTCCGACGAGCAAGTTAAAGAGAGAGAGAGATGGAATGTGGAGATATGGGTCAAATATAGAAAAACTTAACCTTCTTCTTGTTTTTAACATCTGTTTATATCTTCTGGTAATCATTTCGTTGTCCCTTCCGACCTGCCACCTTGGCCGACAGTCTATGCTTTAGCTTATCTTGTTCGTGGTAAAGGCGTTCTGCCCCGACAGAGAGGGCTTGTCGCAATAAATGCTGTGAGGGGTTTCATTAATGGCGATGTGCAGTGGCAATAACTTTGCAGATCTTTGTCTGCTTATGTGGCTTGCCCTTCTCTTGACATGTGTCTTGATGCCATTGGTTCTTATTGTTACATGGGACTTCGACAGTGTTGGGTTTCATTAATTGAACTATGTATTGGGCCCTAAGTAGTGGGCTGTAACCTTTATAGGCCTACCCATGTCAAATATAAAATTGTAATTCTACATTTATCCTTAACCTTTTTAGTCCTAATCCTAATAGTAAAGTCATTCACTACCAACTAATCCAATCACCTCTCCAAGCCCTTTCTTTAGCCTTTTTTTGCTGCCCTTTATACTCGTGACATCCAGCACATACATTCCACCTTCGCGACCCCCACTCTACGACCATCGCAACCCTTACCTTCTGGCTTATTCTTTTTCTTCTTATTCTTCGATCTCTCTCTCTCTCTCCTATTTACATAATTATAGGGTTGTGACACCCTGTATTTTTGAAGTATTAATATTTAGTGAGTGGTATTGGTGGTTTATTATGATAATTTAGTAATGAGATTTTTAGCTAAGAATCAAAATTTTAAATTATTTGTTTGTATTTATCTCATCTCTTTTATATCTATCATATTGTTATTTAATAAATCAATTTACCATTTCTCATCATGTGAGAAGAAGAAGAGAAAAAAAAAAAAAAAAAAATACAAACAAGACAAAACCGTGGGCTGTTAACCCACTGACTTGCCACACCAATACCACCATCCATCATTTGAACTTTACATTTCTTTTAATTTTTTTATTCTTCTTTCATTCCTTTATCCCTCTATAAATCAGCTCAGACTGAGGGTAGCTCCTCACATTCATCTCTTCGTTCGGTTCTTCCCCTCTCATAAATCTCTCATAAATTGCGTAGAGTATAAATATTAAATTTAGATATTGGAGTGTTTGGAGTGAAAATGAGTATTTTATAAAATAAATAAATAAAGTGAGAGTTGTAGATTTTATTAAATCATACATACTTCATGTTTTAGAAGTTTGATCAAAGTTATTTTTGGAGATCCATGGAGCAATTTCAGATTTATGGTGACGAAGTCAATTATTATGAGGTAAATTCAGGTTGTATACAATATGCTCTATTTAAATCTCTTTGCAAAGAGTTCTCTTATTACAAATTATTCTCAATTTGTAATCCACTTGATTAATGTGGTTATTAATAGATTTTGTAAAATCATTTGTTACTGAATCGTTGATATTCTGATCATTTGGTAAAATTCTCTACAAATATTCTGGGTTAAATGGTGATTTATCTGACCGAATGATATAGAAATACTTCGTACATGGATCGAGTGAATCCTATTAATTGTTTACACCAATATGCCCGGATAAGCGTGGAGCTTGGGTGAGGTGGGTGAATAAATGAATAAGGCGTTCTGCCCCGACGGAGAGGGCTTGTCGCAATAAATGCTGTGAGGGGTTTCATTAATGGCGATGTGCAGTGGCAATAACTTTGCAGATCTTTGTCTGCTTATGTGGCTTGCCCTTCTCTTGACATGTGTCTTGATGCCATTGGTTCTTATTGTTACATGGGACTTCGACAGTGTTGGGTTTCATTAATTGAACTATGTATTGGGCCCTAAGTAGTGGGCTGTAACCTTTATAGGCCTACCCATGTCAAATATAAAATTGTAATTCTACATTTATCCTTAACCTTTTTAGTCCTAATCCTAATAGTAAAGTCATTCACTACCAACTAATCCAATCACCTCTCCAAGCCCTTTCTTTAGCCTTTTTTTGCTGCCCTTTATACTCGTGACATCCAGCACATACATTCCACCTTCGCGACCCCCGGTCTACGACCATCGCAACCCTTACCTTCTGGCTTATTCTTTTTCTTCTTATTCTTCGATCTCTCTCTCTCTCTCTCTCTCTCTCTCTCTCCTATTTACATAATTATAGGGTTTCGTAAAGCAAAATCGTAGGGAGACAATAAGCTATTAGGGTTATGCAAGTGAGAGAAAGACGTGTGGTAGTGGTGCATAACAAAGAGATAAGGCACTAAAAGTAGCGCTAAAGTATCTCTCTTCTTTATGTAATTATAGGGTTTCATAAAAACAACATCGTAAGGAGACAATGAGCTATTGGGGTTGTGCAAGTGAGAGAAAAACGTGTAGTGGTGGTGCATAACAAAGAGAAAAGACACGTTTGTTTGGGTGGATATGGGTTTAGAAAGGTATTAATAGTCTAATAAAATTATTAATCTGATGTTTGGTTAAATGATTAAAGTACGGACTAATAATTTATTCGGATACGGTATTTCACACATGATGGACTATTCAATTCCACAGAGTGAGATATAAATTGGAGGACTAAGCCTCCAAACGGACTATTCAATCCCACAGGGTGGGATATAAATTGGAGGACTAAGCATCTAAACATATGATAGGATACACAATCTAAAGGGATTCGTAGTTTTATGACTATTAGCGATAGAAACACTAATCTAACTTAATCTAGTTTGCCAAATAAACATGACCTAAAGTTAGCGCCAAAGATGGGCTAAAGTACTGGGGGCATTGGGAAGGAGGGGGGCTAGGGAAGGATTGTAATAAGGGCAAGGTTCATTGGAATGATAATGGAGGGTGGCCGGAGACGGGGGGTGAGAGGACTGTTGGATAAACGATGTTGTAGGGTTGTGGGCCCAAAGAAAAGGTACAGTTAGGATTATAGTGGGTGCTCAAATAAAGAAAAAATAATGCAGAGGAATTTTGGTATGGGTAAAGAAAAAATGTGGAGATTATAAAAAGATCTAAACTTAAACAAGTTTATAAAATAGGACTTGTCACTAAATCTTTTTTTAAAAAATTGGATAAATTACACTAATCTTCCTTTAGATTTGGAAAGAAAAAAAAAGAAGTGAATACTATGAATTTGTTATAATTACACTTCTTTAAGACTTTAATTTGCTCTGTACAACTGAGACACTTCCATCCTACAGTCTGGTAGATGAAGACTAATTGAGAGTAAAATGTCCATATTGTGAAAACTTCATTTTTTTTTTTACCGATTCTAATTAGGGTTGGGCGTAGGGTTATTCGAACCGCCCAAATCACCCTATCCGATCCGAACCGTGCACGTATGGGCAGTTTTACAAACACATTGGGGTAGAGTACGGTTTAAATTTTATCAAATTTTTGGATTGCGGACCCGCACTCGTCCAACCCACCCGAATAATATATATATATATATTTTCCAAAGCTGACCGTCCAAAAAAAAAAAAAACCTTTTTTTTCCTTCAAATCTGACCGTTCAAAAACAAAAACCATAATCAATCGTTATCTATCTCTCATCTCAAACTCAAAGACAAAACAGAACTCACTCACTCACTCTCACTCTCACTCTCACTCTCGCGATTCTCATCTACACTGCATGCACCCACTGATCGACCTCATCGCACACCTCACAGGTAAGCCCCTCTGTGAATCTCAGTCTCTATCTATGTCTCTTTCTCCTCGATCTTGAATCTTTATATCTCTGATCTGTCTCCCTCACTCTCTCATCTCACAGTCTCTCACTCTCTGGTTTTGCATCTACACCGATCGACTCTCTCTCATCGCAAAATCGGCCGATCGACCGACTCTCGCATCGCACCGATCGACCTCACAGGTAAGCCTCTCTCTCTTTCTCTCTCTCTCTCGCCCCGATCTTTGATTTATTTTGCAACATATCAGATCTGTTAAATCTATGTACATAACCTTGAATCTGTGTTAAATCTGTGTGCATAACCTTGAGTTTTTGAATCTGTGTACATAACCTTTCTTTTGAATGCATTTGTTTTAAATAAATACTGAAGTTCCTTTTTATTCTAGCAGTTTGGATGACTGAGTGGATTTGACTCAACAATGGAGCTTAGTTTTGTTAATCTCAATGCAGGTTTGGGACGTATTGCTGGAATTTTATCTCTTGAAGTAGAGGATGGGAATACCACACTGGATTCTCTCCAGCATGTTGGGTCAGAACTAGCAATGCATGTAGTTGCTACTAAGCCATTGTTTCTGAGAAAGGATCTTGTGTCTTCAGATGCATTGGAGAATGAACGTAAGATTCTTAAGTCTCAGGTACTTATTAATGGCATTATTTAAGTTTTAACCATGCGTTTTATGTTATATTTATTGTGAAGTTTCCCTGGATTGAAGTCTGGACTCTCTGCCTTGTGACTTATGGTTTTCAATTATATTTGTTTTGGGAATCTTTAATAGAAGTATTATCCATTACAAGTTGAAGTCTGTTTTTTGGTTTCCAGATTCTAAAGAAAGAAATAGAGTACAGAGAATGGCGATTACTACGGTTATTTTATAAGTGCTTTATAAGTTTTAATTAATTAATTATTAATGTTAGAGCATTTTAGAAAATGGGAGGAAAAAGGTCTAAAAGAAATATTGACAAAATGGGGAAAAAAAAAAGGGTTTAAAAACAACATATCTGTGCAGATGCAACCACTAGAATCAAAACAAATGGCAATCATAAATCAAGGTTCTAAATTATATTTGGTCTGGCCGTGAATGAAGGAAACTAAAACAAACTTTTCAAATACAATTAGCTCTTAAATTGTAACAATAAAGTAACATACAAGTGGTGATATGTTTTGGTAACAAATGAAATACAAAATCAAACATGTCTGATAGTTTGAAATTTAAATTCCAATTTTTTGTTTGTGATGAGCTAAAATAACTCATCATATACTACAATAGTCAACAAAATAAAACACTCATTACATTACTCTTTTTATTTTTTTACACGTGTTTTTATTATTCCCAAACGATACCATGTAATAAATAAATAAATAAATCGGATCTATATCTAAGCCATAGTTTGAATAGTTTTTATTTTTATAATCTGTAACTTGAGAAGTTAACTATATACAGGAATTGATTGTTTTTAGAGAAATACTGTTTAGCACTGTCTTTTCCATTACATCGTCCTTTTTTACTCACTTGATTTCGGTGAACATAGGCCAATTCCATTGACGTATCCTGATTGTTAAATCATGAAAGAGTGAACGGATGTGAAACAAGCGAAAATCTTAAAATTCAAGGAAAATGAACAAATCGTAGTTTTACTTACCATGAAATGTTGGTGAATTTGAATATGCTCCTTCAGAATCCATAACTATGAAATCAACAATTAATCATCACTATATAACACCAATGACACATCCATATATCCGTACATATATATATCATGTATTTATGTTTGTGTATATGTGATGAACTCATATCACATCATAACAATTAATCATCACAGTGAATGGATGTGAAACAAGCGAAAAACTTAAAATTCAAGGAAAATGAACAAATCGTACTATTACTTACCATGAAATGTTGGTGAAATCGAATCATCTCCTTCAGAATCCATACCTATCAAATCAACAATTAATCATCACTATATAACACCAATGACACATCCATATATCCATACATATATATGTATATATATCATGTATTTACGTTCGTATATAAGTGATGAACTCATCACCATAACACATCCATATATTATAACAGTCTAACAGATCCATATAGTATTACTTTGAAGTTGCTGTGTTTTAGTTTTGCGAGAGAGAGAATATGTGTGTGTTTGGTTTTGAAATGCTTTTGAATGATAAACTCATAATACCACATTATAACAGTCTAACAGATCCATATAGCATTATCTTGAAATTGCTGTGTTTTGGTTTCGCGCGCACACGAGGGAGAGAGAAAGTATGTGTGTGTGTTTGGTTTTGAAATGCTTTTGAATGATAAACTCATAATACCACATCATAACAATCTAACAGATCCATATAGCATTACCTTGAAGTTGCTGTGTTTTGGTTTCGCACGCCCGTGCGAGAGAGAGAGAAAGTATGTGTGTGTGTTTGGTTTTGAAATGCTTTTGAATGATAAATCCATAATACCACATTATAACAATCTAACAAATCCATATAGCATTGCCTTGAAGTTGCTGTGTTTTGGTTTAGAGAGAGAGAGAGTATGTGTGTGTTTTTGGTTTTGAAATGCCATTGAATTGAATTCTAAAGTGCGAGGGGTTTAGAAGGCAGTTTCTATTTTTTTATTTTATATTTTTTTTATCGAAGTTTTTAGCACAGCACCAATCCCATGGGAGTGGTGTGTGGCAGCTGTTGGTTGGTTATATGTGTTTGCCATCATGGTTTTAGATGCCATATATACTGTACAACAGGTACTTAACAGCTTTCTGAGGTGCCGAATGGGATACATTTCATGTGAACCGATTTCCCCCCTCGTATCGGCCAGTTTTTTTTTTTTTTTTTAATCAGTCAGTTCTCGTATCGGCTAGTTTACTGTAACGATTACAAATTAATATGTAATGAGAACTAACTGATAAAAATAAAAACTGAAAAAAAACTGGCCGATTCGAGGGGGAAATCGGTTCACACGAAATGTATCCCATTCGGCACCTCAAAAAGCTGTTGAGTACATGCTGTATAGTATATATGGCATCTAAAACCATGATGGCAAACACATGCAACCAACCAACAGCTGCCACACACCACTCCCATGGGGTTGGTGCTATGCCAGAAACTTTGATAAAAAGAAATAAAAAATAAAAAAAATAGAAACTGCCTTATAAACCCCTCGCGCTTCAGAATTCAATTCAATAGCATTTCAAAACCAAACACACACTCTCTCTCGCAAAATCAAAACACAACAACTTCAAGGTAATGCTATATGGATTTGTTAGATTGTTATGATGCGGTATTATGAGTTTATCATTCAAAAGCATTTCAAAACCAAAACACAGCAATTTCAAGGTAATGCTATATGGATCTATCAGATTGTTATGATGTGGTATTATGAGTTTATCATTCAAAAGCATTTCAAAACCAAACACACACACATACTCTCTCTCTGGCACGCGCGTGCGAAACCAAAACACAGCAACTTCAAGATAATGCTATATGGATCTGTTAGACTGTTATGATGTGGTATTATGAGTTTATCATTCAAAAGCATTTTAAAACCAAACACACACATAGTCTCTCTCGCAAAACCAAAACACAGCAACTTCAAGGTAATGCTATATGGATCTGTTAGACTATTATGATATATGGATGTGTTATGGTGATGAGTTCATCACACATATACGAACGTAAATACATGATATATATACATATATATGTATGGACACATAGATGTGTCATTGGTGTTATGTAGTGATGATTAATTGTTGATTTGATAGGTATGGATTCTGAAGGAGATGATTCGATTTCACCAACATTTCATGGTAAGTAATAGTACGATTTGTTCATTTTCCTTGAATTTTAAGTTTTTCGCGTGTTTCACATCCATTCACTGTGATGATTAATTGTTATGATGTGATATGAGTTCATCACATATACACGAATATAAATACATGATATATATATGTATGGATATATGGATGTGTCATTGGTGTTATATAGTGATGATTAATTGTTGATTTGATAGCTATGGATTCTGAAGGAGCAGATTCGAATTCACCAACATTTCATGGTATAAGTAAATTACGATTTGTTCATTTTCCTTGAATTTTAAGATTTTCGCTTGTTTCACATCTGTTCACTCTTTCATGATTTAACAATTGGGAGACATCAATGGAATTGGCCTGTGTTCACCGAAATCAAGTGAGTCAAAAAGGACGACGCAATGGAAAAGACAGTACTAAACGGTATTTCTCTAAGAACAATCAATTCCTGTATGTAGTTAACTTCTCAAGTTACAGATTATAAAAATAAAAACTATTCAAACTATGGCTTAGGTATAGATCCGATTTATTTATTTATTTATTACATGGTATCGTCTGGGAATAATAAAAACACGTGTAAAAAAATAAAAAGAGTAATGTAAAGTGTTTTATTTTGTTGACTATTTTAGTATATGATGAGTTATTTTAGCCCATCACAAACAAGAAATTGGAATTTAAATTTCAAACTATCAGGCATGTTTGATTTTGTATTTCATTTGTTACCGAAACATATCACCACTTGTATGTTACTTTATTGTTACAATTTAAGAGCTAATTGTATTTGAAAAGTTTGCTTTAGTTTCCTTCATTCATGGGCCAGACCAAATATAATTTAGAACCTTGATTTATGATTGCCATTTGTTTTGATTCTAGTGGTTGCATCTGCACAGAGACATATTGTTTTTCTCTTCGCACTACCTCATATATGGAAAGAAAATTGCACAACTTCCTTTTCCCTGTTTGCAACAATAGATTTGAATATGACAATACTGTAGTGGCACCATATATTTTCTTCTTTCTCTTTGAAATTAAACATGTTCCTCTGTGTTTGTGTTTTGTTATAATTTATTTCTCTACCATTTTAGAGGTATCATCATGAGTTGTGTTCTTCTTTGACTGTTAGTAACATGCTCTGACTAGTGAATAATAGATTGTGACTATCGATTTTGTGTGACAAATTAAAAAATTAGTAGATCAATTTGTTGTGACAGTTGGTCATACAGTTATTTTTTTTTGAATAGCTTTTCCTTTGATTATAGGTTTTTTTGAACAAAGGCATGCATAAGAGTGGTCATATTAGATTTGAATAGTTTCATCCTATTTCTCAATACTATATTATTCAACTCAAGGTCTAGAATTATCCACACTCTCAAAAACTCTCTGCTGCTGTGGTACATACACGGTCTCTCACCATATACTTGCAGAGTGTTTTCTTTGATTGAAAGATCATGGAGTTAAGTATAGACTCTTTTGTCACTTGTTGGAAACGTTCTAAAGTATGAATACATATTTATAGTGGCTAAGTTTTTGAATCCATAGGTTTTCTTTTATATGTTATGAGTTTTGATGCAAGTGAGTTATATAATTTTTTGTATTATGTGTGATGTTTGAACAAATCGGTGAATAGTTAAATTTTGAATAGATATGGATACTTTTGGATAAATAATATATTTTTAGTGTAAAAAAATAAAAATTAAACTAATGTATTGACACAATAAAATATATAATTGTTGTTTCTTCTCTTATTTTATCAATTGTGTTTTGTGGGATGCTCGTAAACGTTGTTTGTTAATAAATATTTTTAGACAAATTACAAAAGTAGCTCTTGTATTTTAGTTTTTATGTCATTTTAATTTCTATAATTTCAATTGACTCAATTTCAATCATGAATTTGTGATTTTGTTTTAATTTGGTCTAATTAATTAAAACTCTTAACATTTTTGTTATGAAAAATATACATACAAGTGGCATGTATCATATTTTTTAAAAGCAAAATTATAAAATTACTTAACTCAGTGAGTTAACTTAAATCAATTTATTGATTATTTTTCGTCAACAACACTAATAACATTATTAATTGGATTAAATTGACACAAAATTTAAAATTAATGGTAAAAATTGAGTCAATTGAAAGTGTAAAAATCAAAATGATACAAGAGATAAAATGTAAGACTAATGTTACAATTTACCCAATATTTTCAGTTGAATTTATGACGTGTTCGGTGTAAAAGAAAGTACAAGAAAATAATTAAAAAAAAAGGTCATAACTTTAACAGCTGAGTAGTTAAAAAAAAAAACAACTGACCCGACACCCGAGTTATAAATAATTAAAAAAAACAGCTGAGTCGTCAAATTATCACATACTTTTATTTAAGAAAAAATAAATATATAATCTAAATTCATTCAGTGTTGGTCTAACATAGATAAGTTAATTTTGAAAAATGCTAATCTTTATGAGTAAGATTCGTGACATAAATTTTAAGGCGAAATATTAATAAATCTCTAATAATAATCCATTAGACTTAGTTTAGTTAGTCACCATACTTTCCTCAAAGCATCACAATGGGTGTGTCAGTGGGTGTGCTAGTGTGCCAAATTTTGGTCAGCTAAAAACACTGTTTTGTGCTGCAATGAAGTTGCTAACTTGTGTATTAGTGTCAGCCATTAGCATTTTATATTTACTTGTGTGTTAACTGTGATTAGCATTTTAGCCAACGAGAGAAAGAGGGCATTGGGTTTCCTGCAAACCCAAAACCAAAAAATGTAGTATTATTTTTCAATATAGGATTATTTTTCAATTACAACATAGAAAATAGCATTAAAAAAACAAAAATGCAATAAAAAAAAAACCACATTAAACATCAATGTTAAAAAAACAATGCCCAACAAGTTAAAAAAAAAAAAAAAAAGTTAACCAATAGCCAATTGACCGGCCGGACTTCTAGGCAGATGTCTCGGCGGACGACCCAATCCGTTGTGGTGCGCATTTATATATATATATATATATATATTCTTAACACACACCTTAACATATTCATTGCACAACCACTCACTCTCTAAAATTAATAAACTCTTAACACACTTTACCACATATTTTTTAGGCCTCACTTTTGTTACTTTTTGTCATACTAGTGGGTGGCACACACATCGTGTGTGCAATTTAAATAAGTAGGAATAAAAAAAAATAATAATGAAATTAATATTATAATGTGTACTTAGCTTAAGTGGTATGAGTCCTCGTACTTAAACCCATGGTCATGGGTTCAAGCATTGCCCATCTCTTTGTTTAACTTTTTTTAAAAAAATAAAAAATACTGCCACATGGCATGAGGAGAGTAAAGCTTCAGGACACCATAAGAGGTGTTCACTTTATAATAGTATAGATAACACACTTTAACAAACAATTTTAGCCATCCCATTGTGGATGCTCTTAGGGCTTAGTCCCTAGGGAGGTCATGGGTTCAATTCCTAGTTGAAGGAGTTGACTTGAGGGAGTGCAAGCATTTAGATGTTTTGTTAAGGATTGAGAGAGTTTTTTCCCATAGGTACTAATCTAGCAACTAACATTTGCTGATAAAAAATAAATAAATAAAAATCTCAAATAGTGATTTTAAGAACTGTTTGGTCTTTTTTTTTTTTATTTTGTTTTTTAATTAATGGATTCAAAAGTCACATTCTAATGTGAATTACATAAAGGGTTAAGTATGAACGGGCATGTGCTATGTGTTGAGAGACAAATGTGAGTTTTTCTAAACGTAGCATTCTAATGTAACACATTAAAAGTTTATTTAGTGTACTTTTTTCAAACATAACAACGTAATATTTCGAAAAAATTCTTTAGTGTATTTTTTTTCCAAACGTAACACTTCAATCAATGTAACACATAAAAACTCCTTAGTGTATTTTTCCAACTTAACAACGTAACATTCCAAGAAAATCCCTTAGCGTATTTTTCCCAAATGTGACACTCCAATCAATGTAACACATAAAAACTTTTTGGTGTACTTTTTCTAAATGTAACACTCCAATCAATGTAACACAAAAACTCCTAGTGTACTTTTCCCAAATGTAAAAATGTAACATTCCAAGAAAATTCCTTAGCGTATTTTTTTCCCAAACGTAACACTCTAATCAATTTAACATATAAAAATTCCTTAGTGTATTTTCCTTTTCCAAATGTAGTACTCTAATGTAGCACTTCAATACTCTAATGTAGCACTTCAATATAATACCAAAAAATACACTAATAAAAATGTATATTTCCACGCTTGAAAAGAATTTTCCACAACCTTACCTTTCCGTTCCCATGCCAAAAACGAATTAGAAAATTGAAAAAATGAATCATAAAGGGCATTCACTTAAATTCAAATAGCACCAAATCAAATAAATACAACTTTCTAAAACAAAAAGGACTAATTGATTCATAAAAAAAACTTTTAATGCTAAATAGATCAACATTCACCATATTAGATTTATAGGTAAATTTTTCTAAATTTTAATCCCTCTCCTAGCTCACGGTTATGTTAATTAACAGATTGAAGTAATGTCAGTACACCCTCCGTATCAAAATATTAGTCTCTTATTCTATTTTTATTGTCTCAAAATATTAGTCTCAAAATATTATTAACAAGTGGGCATCATTGAAAGCAAGCATAGCTAGTTTGACAAAATTAAATAATTGCACTTGTAATTTTTTTTCATATAACACTACACGTTGACATGAATTTTTTTAAATGTTAGCAAGCAAAACTTGAATTATTTGACCTCCCCTCACAAATAGTTGTGTACTGGGTAGAAATTGATTATTTTTTCAACACGATCTCTAATTGTTTTGTTTTGTTTTTTCCAGTGGCAGAGATAGATGGTGGCTTGCTCGGCCCGATTGGGCCACTAGGATTCGGTATAGACCTTAAATTTTACAAGTTTTTTTGAATTATGGGTTACGAGTTCTTATGTTTTTGAATATGACAAGCAAAATTTAAATTGTCTGACATTGCTCAAAAATAGTTTTTTACGAGACAAACTGATTTTTTTTTGAACGCTGTCTTTTGTTTTTTCCAATTGTAGGCATATATGATGATCTGCTTGGCCCTCCGATTGACGGTAAGAATTGAAATTTTGTCAGTTGTAGTGAACGGATTGCGAGTTTTGATAAATAGGTTAAGTTCTAATTTTTAATAATTGCATTTCTGCACAAAAATGGCAAAAAATATTATTAAGAATAGGGCATTATGGGATGCAAGTGGAGATACTATATTGACAAAATTAAATAATTACACACTTGTAATATCTGTGCATATAACATTACGCAATGACATGAATTTCTTTGAATGTTTGAGTTGCAAGAGTTGAATTATCTGTCCTCCCCTCATGAATAGTGCTTTGCAGAACATAAATTGATTATTTTTTCTGCACTATTTTTTTTTTCCTAATGGCAGGCGTATATCCTGGTCTGCTCGTTGTACCTATTAGCCCACCAGAACTTGGTATGAACAGGAATTTTTTGAGTTGTAGTCAATGGGTTGCAATTTTTGATCAATGAGTTGAAGTTATAGTTTTTAATAATTGACTTACCATACAAAAATGGGGAAAAATGTTATTAAGAATAGGGTATTATGTGAAGGAAACAGAGATACTTAGAATCTCAAAATTATATTATCTCACCACCGTAAATTCTTTTCATGTAACGTTATGCAATGACATCAATTTTTTGAACGTCAAGAAACAAAACTTGAATTATTTGACCTTCCCTTACAAATAGTTGTATATTGGATTGAAACTGATTATTTTTCGACACTATCTTCTTTTTTTTTTTTTCCCTTGCCAATGGCGTGCGTAGATTTTGGCTTGGTCGATGCGCCAAATGATCCACCAGCATTCGGTAATGATTGAAATTTAGTAAGTTGTAATCATTTGGTTACAAGTTTTGATCATTAAGTTGGATATTACTTTATAAAAATTGCAGAAAAAATTATGAAGAATTGGGCATTGTCGGAAGCAAGTGAAGACAATAGGTTTGACGAAATCGAATAATTGCACATCTAATCTTATTTTTTTGTAAGATTATGCATTTGACAAAAATATTTTTTGAATTTTATCAAGTAAAACTTGAATTATTTGACCTCTCCTCTGAACAATGTCTTTACTGGATAAGAAATTGATTTTTTTTTTTAAACACTAACTTTGTTTTACAATGGCAGGAGCTAGTGCTGGCTTACCGGACATACCGATTGATCCACCAGCTTACGGTAACATTTGAAAATTTTATAAGTTGTGGTAAATGGGTTTCAAGTTATTGCAAACAGGTTGAAGTTGTATCTGTTAACAATTGCCTTTTCCACAAGAAAATAGTAGAAAATATTATTTAAAAAGTAGCCATCATCGACAGAAAGCGGAGATAGCTAGATCTACAAAATTAAATAATTACGCTTGTAATTTCGTTCCATATAACATTATGCAATGACACAAACATTTTCGAATGATGAGCAAAACATGAATTGTTGCATCTCCCCTCACAACTTATGGTTTACTAGATGAAAACATATATATATATATATATATATTTTCTAACTGAATCTTTCTTTTTCTCTTTTCCCTAGAGGCAGGCGCAAATGCTGGCCTCCTCGTCGCGCCTGCCTCTAGAGAAATATTATTAATAAATGACTTAACCACAGAACAATGAGGAAAAATATTATTAACAAGTGGGCATCATTGAAAGCAAGCACAACTAGTTTGACAAAATTAAATAATTACACTTGTAATTTCTGTTCATATAACGCTACGCCTTGACTTGAATTTTTTTGAATGTCAACAAGCAAAATTTGAATTATTTGACCTCCCCTCACAAATAGTTGTGTACTGGGTAGAAGTTTATTATTTTTTCTACACAATCTCTTTTTGTTTCGTTTTGTTTTGTTTTGTTTTTTTTTTTTTTCTAGTGGCAGAGATAAATGGTGGCTTGCTCGACCCGATTGGGCCACTAGGATTCGGTATAGACCTTAAATTTTACAAGTTTTTTTGGATTATGAGTTACTAGTTCTTATGTTTTTGAATATGACAAGCAAAACTTGAATTATCCGACATTGCTCAAAAATAGTGGTTTACGGGATAGAAACTGATTTTTTTTTTGGACGCTGTCTTTTGTTTTTTTTCCAATTGTAGGCGTATATACTGATGTACTTGGCCCTCCGATTGACGGTAAGAATTGAAATTGTCACTTGTAGTGAACGGGTTGCGAGTTTTGATTAATGGGTTGAAGTTCTAATTTTTAATAATTGCATTTTCGCACAGAAATGGCAAAAAATATTATTAAGAATAGAGCATTATGGGATGCAAGTGGAGATACTATATTGACAAAATTAAATAATTACACAGCTGTAATATCTGTTCATATAAACATTATGCAATGACATGAATTTTTTTGAATGTCAAGTAGCAAAAGATGAATTATATGTACTCCCCTCATGAATAGTACTTTGCAGAACATAAACTGATTATTTTTTCTGTACTATTTTTTTTTCTCCTAATGGCAGGCGTATATGCTGGCCCACTCGTTGCATCTATTAGCCCACTAGAGCTTGGTGTGAACTGGAATTTTTTAAGTTGTAGTCAATGGGTTGCAAGTTTGAATCTATGGGTTGAAGTTATAATTTTTAATAATTGGCTTGCCCTATAAAAATGAGGAAAAATGTTGTTAAGAATATGGTACTATGTGAAGGAAATGGAGATACATAGAATCTTAAAATTAAATAATTTCACTGCCGTAAATTCTTTTCATGTAACGTTTTGCAATGACATGAATTTTTTTGAACGTCAACAAGCCGAACTTGAATTATTTGACCTCTCCTTACAAATAGTTATATACTGGGTAGAAACTGATTATTTTTTCAACATTATCTTCTTTTCTTTTCTTTTTTTTTTTCCCTTCCCAATGGCATGCGTAGATTTTGGCTTACTCAATGTGCCAAATTATCCGCCAGCATTCGGTAATAGTTGAAATTTAATAAGTTGTAGTTATTTGGTTACAAGTTTTGATCATTAATTTGGAGTTTTACTTTATAAAAAATGGCGAAAAAATTATGAAGAATTGGGCATTATCGAAAGCAAGTGGAGATAACAGGTTTGCAAAATTGAATTATTGCACATCTAATATCATTTTTTGTAAGATTATGCAATGACAAAAATATTTTTTGAATGTGATCAAGCAAAACTCGAATTATTTGATCTCTCATCAAGACAAGCTCTTTACTATATAAGAAATTAATTTTTCTTTAACAGTGTCTCTTTTTACAATGGCAGTAGCTGGTTGTCACGTACCGACTTATTGAGGATGTGAGTTCTATATCAAGCACCTTGCATGCGCATTAGTTTGTGAGCAGCAAGGCAGGTAGGGTAGATCCCTATCACTTCTCTTGGGTTGGTCCTTGGGCATAATGCACGAGGGTACGTTGTACCACTCGTGGAGCCAGCTTCTCGGGAGGATGACAAGCGCCCAGTCCGTGACAAGTGATATTAGAGCCAACCTAGAGCCACTGTGATAGGGACGGTACGTGGAACTTACACGAAGCGCCTTCATTGTGGGGTTTGCGCCAAGGGTGGTGTTCGCACGGGACGGGTTTCGTGGGTAGGGGAACGGACAAGCGTGGATGCAGGCAGGGTCATGTCTCCCTGACGTGGGCGTCAGGACTGGCGGTGGTAGTGTGGCACGTACCCGACTCATTAGAGATGCGAGTTCTACACCAAGCACTTTGCAAGCGCATTAGTTTGTGAGCAGCAAGGCAGGCAGGGTAGATACCTATCGCATCTCCTGGGTTGGTCCTTGGACATAATGCACGGGGTACGCAGTACTACTTGTGGAGCCGACTTCTCTGGAGGATGACAAGCGCCCAGTCCGTGACAACCAGCTCCAGTTATTGTAAAAAAAGATGTTAAAAAAAATATATAAATTTCCTATCCAGTAAAGAACTTGTTTTGAGGAGATGTCAAATAATTCAAGTTTGGTTTGATAACATTCAAAAAATATTTTTGTCGTTGCATAATCTTATAAAAAATGAGATTAGATGTGCAATAATATGATTTTGTCAAACCTGGTATCTCCACTTGCTTCCGATAATGTCCAATTCTTCATAATTTTTTTGCCATTTTTTATGAAGTAGAACTCCAGCTTAATGATCAAAACTTGTAATCAAATGACTATAACTTATTAAATTTCAGCCATTACCGAATGCTGGTGGATCATTTGGTGCATCGAGCAGGCCAAAATCTACAGATGCCATTGGGAAAGGAAAAAAAGAAAAGAAAATGAGATAGCGTTGAAAAAATATTTAGTTTCTACTCAGTAGACAACTATTTGTAAGGGGAGGTCAAATAATTCAAGTTTTGTTTCTTGACGTTCAAAAAAATTCATGTCATTGCATAACATTACATGAGAAGAATTTAAGGCGGTGAAATTATTTAATTTTGAGATTCTTTGTATCTCCATTTCTTTTACATAATACCCTATTCTTAATAACATTTTTCCTCATTTTTGTATGGTAAGTCAATTATTAAAAATTATAACTTCAACCCATTGATCCAAACTTGCAACCCATTGACTACAACTTAAAAAATTCCAGTTCACACCAAGCTCTGGTGGGCTAATAGGTGCAACGAGCAGGCTAGGATATACACCAACCATTAGGAAAAAAAGGATAGTGTAGAAAAAATAATCAGTTCATGTTTTGCGAAGCACTATCCATGAGGGGAGGACAAATAATTTATCTTTTGCTACTTGACATTCAAAAAATTCATGTCATTGCATAATGTTATATAAATAGATATTACAGTTGTGCAATTATTTAATTTTTTCAATATAGTATCTCCACTTGCATCCCATAATGCCCTATTCTTAATAATATTTTTTGCCATTTTTGTGCGGAAATGCAATTATTAAAAATTTGCACTTCAATCCATTTATCAAAGCTCGCAACCTGTTCACTGCAACTGACAAAATTTCAATTCTTACCGTCAATCGGAGGGCGAAGCAGATCACATATATGCCTACAATTGGAAAGAACAAAAGATAGCGTTCAAAAAAAAAAATCAGTTTCTATCTCGTAAACCACTATTTTTGAGCGATGTCAGATAATTCAAGTTTTGCTTGTCATATTCAAAAACATAAGAACTCGTAACCCATAATTCAAAAAAACTTGTAAAATTTAAGGTCTATACCGAATCCTAGTGGCCCAATCGGGTCGAGCAAGCCACCATTTATCTTTGCCACTAGAAAAAAACAAAACAAAACAAAACAAAACGAAACGAAACAAAAAGAGATTATATAGAAAAAATAATCAACTTCTACCCAGTACACAACTATTTGTGAGGGGAGGTTAAATAATTCAAGTTTTGCTTGTTGACATTCAAAAAAATTCAAGTCAATGCGTAGCATTATATGAACAGAAATTACAAGTGTAGTTATTTAATTTTGTCAAACTAGTTGTGCTTGCTTTCAATGATGCCCACTTGTTAATAATATTTTTCCTCATTGTTCTGTGGTTAAGTCATTTATTAATAATATTTCTCTAGAGGCAGGCGCGACGAGGAGGCCAGCATTTGCGCCTGCCTCTAGGGAAAAGAGAAAAAGAAAGATTCAGTTAGAAAATATATATATATATATGTTTCCATCTAGTAAACCACAAGTTGTGGGGGGAGATGCAATAATTCATGTTTCGCTCGTCATTCAAAAATATTTGTGTCATTGCATAATGTTATATGGAATGAAATTATAGTTGTAATTATTTAATTTTGTAGATCTAGCTATCTCTGCTTTCTTTCGATGATTGCTACTTCTGTAATAATATTTTCACCATTTTCTTGTGGAAAAAACAATTGTTAAAAAATACAACTTCAACCTGTTCGTCATAACTTGAAACCCATTGACTACAACTTATAAAATTTTCAAATCTTACCGAAAGCTGGTGGATCAATCGGTATGTTCGGTAGGCCAGCACCAAAAAAAAATCAATTTCTTATCCAGTAAAGACCTTGTTTTGAGGAGAGGTCAAATAATTCAAGTTTTGCTTGATAACATTCAAAAAATATTTTTGTCGCTGCATAATCTTACAAAAAATGAGATTAGATGTGCAATAATTCGATTTTGTCAAACTTGGTATCTCCACCTACTTCCGATAATGCCCAATTCTTTATAATTTTTTTTGCCATTTTTTATAAAGTAGAACTCCAGCTTAATGATCAAAACTTGTAACCAAATGACTACAACTTATTAAATTTCAGCCATTATCGAATATTGGTGGATTATTTGGCGCATCGAGCAGGCCAAAATCTACGCACGCCATTGGGAAGGGAAAAAAAGGAAAGAAAAGAAGATAGTGTCGAAAAATAATCAGTTTCAACCCAGTATGCAATTATTTGTAAGAAGAGGTCAAATAATTCAAGTTTTGTTTCTTGACGTTCAAAAAAATTAATGTCATTGCATAACATTACATGAAAAGAATTTACGACTGTGAGATTATTTAATTTTGAGATTCTATGTATCTCCATTTCCTTCACATAAATACCCTATTCTTAATAACATTTTCCCCCATTTTTGTATGGTAAGTCAATTATTAAAAATTATAACTTCAACCCATTGATC